GGAGAGAGAGGGGACTGGCGATGGGAGGGAGGAGAGAAACCTCCAACTCCCGGTACCTCAGGCGGCTTATGGCCGCCGGTAACCCAGTCGCTGCTGCTGCTGCTCCGCTCGCTGCTGCTGCGCTAATCGCTGCGCTGCCTGCTCCTCGCTCCTGCGCTAAACATAGCGCTCCAACGGCACACTGGTGCCGACCTTGGTATACTGGTGGGTCGATCCCCTGAGTGAGGCCGGACCGGTTCTTTATACCGGTGGGCAGAGGCCGGCCTCACTGCTGCGAGACCTGGCTGTGCCCTGAACCATCCAGATGGACGGTTCAGCCCCAACCGGCGGGCGGCAGCCTCAAGAACGCCACCAGGCCCAAACGGTAATGTCGTTTGGGCCTGCCTGTCGGGTCTGGTCCAAGGTGAGGCCTTTATGGCCTGTAGTACCCCAAGGTCGGGCCTTTAGGCCCTGATGTGTCCCTCTAGCCCTAAGTCGGGTCCGGTAGGACCCGTCTGGCGTCGAAGATGTAACACTAAGACTCCTATGCTATAGACCTACAGATCGAACCCCTGCTGTCTATGGACCTACGGCAGGTCTACCAACTGCCTACGAATACACAGGTCACAGGTTCAATTCTCGGGGTCTACACAGATACTGTACATGGGTAGGGTGAGGTCTAGGGATCGAACCCTGGGTGAAAACCGTTTCATGTGTCATGATGTCATCCTTATTGTGCACATGTCCCAACGAGACTTGCAAAAGCATGATTCTGTGTTTCTTTTTCTTTGTTTTTTTGTTTCTTTTTGCACAATTATTTCTTGATTTTTTATGTGTGTCATGATGTCATCCTTAAAAACACGGGCCTTCGTGTCGTTCATTTTTAACAGATGTCCCTCGGAGGAGTACCCACCTCTGTTCCTACCGGTAGTTGGATGAACGAACAAAAATTATGATGGCAGCTGTGTGGCCAAAACCACTGGAGGGCCAATACAGATTGCCGCGGCACTCTTTTCTACCATCCCACGGTTGTCAAAAAAGAGCCCCACCGTTAGAGACGGTAAGCAAGAGCCCCACCGTGAGAGACGGTAAAAAAGAGCCCCACCGTTAGAGACGGTAAAAAAGAGCCCCACCGTTAGAGACGGTAAAAAAGAGCCCCACCGTTAGAGACGGTAAAAA